TCATAATTGTATACGATTTGTATTCGAGTTCTTGGTAAAACTAAAGCTCTCTCTGAAACTAGTTTACCTGATACTCGCTTTTCCAGCCTATATTCTATCAATTTTGACATTCCGAATTTCTACGTTTAGACTAATGCACTTTAATTCCTACATATCCATGCAAATCCCATGCGCTAGCACATTTATAAAGTTTATTAATTCAAGCTAGCATAAGAAATATTCACTCAGCTTAAGCAGCTATTATTTTTGTCTCATATATTCTACCTAAAATAAATAAATCTTTTTCCATATTTACGGTGTAATATCCCTTGATAAGAAACCCTGATGTAACAATTTATATCTGATTTTAATCAGCCGAAAAATGTTCTGAGAATACTTTCTTATATTAAATTAGTGCAATTCAATAGGATTGATATATTGAAATGTTTTTTATACTCGGGGAAGTCGAAAGGCAAAAAGCATAATTTTATAGTAAGGACCTTCCATGTGGTCATTTAGGCAGAGGATTAAGCATTCATTTTAAGGAGCAGGGCAATTTGTTAGCATTTTATATTCAATTATAAAATTTATATCCAAGTGGATGTTGTACTAACCTTCATCATTAATATAAGTGTATTAAGCGCTATCATAACCATAATGTAATACTCAAACGGTGTTGACACCACTAGCTGCCAAATACGATACTTCATGGATCTTCGATCCTTTGGCATGTAGCGGCAAAGTGGACGAGCGTTAATGGCAAAATCAATGCAGCGTTTCTAGGTCAAGTGATAAATAGAAATATATGGTAATTTGAAGGAATAATAATAAATATTCTACTAAAGATTATTATATGCATAAAAGATGACTTACCTGATTTTTGTCAATGTCCAAATCAATAAGTTCGTTTTCTCCTTGTTCTTGGAACGTGATGATAATCAGAGCCACAAAAATGTTGACAAAGAAGAATGGGAAGACAATAAAAAATACGACGTAGAATAGTGCTACTTCTTGACGGTAATCAGGTGAAGGACCCTCACTTGTCTTCGTCGCATCCATAGAATGCTTGAGAACACTAAAGACCCAATAAAATATGATTAAATTAATGAGTTTACGGAGGAGACTAATATCGCGAAATAATTTTAAAAGTAAAATGATCAATTAGTCTTGATGACATGTAAGCGCTAAAAGTTGTTAAACATTATAGATGCTTATAACTCATATACTGGCACTAATAATGCCCAATATGAATATTCATACTACAGTCGATTGGAATAGCAAATGCAAGTTTGCTCTATTTGCGCTATTTTTCACAACAACAATATGATTCAGCTAGCTAGTAAGTGCTGTATGTCCTATCCCCCGCTGGGGCTCGTGGTTGCCCTACGTACCTTAATAGGTAGAAGCTATGTTCATCCTATATAGTTTAAGGTGAAGAAGGACTAGTAGTTAAATTTTCCCACAATAATATGAGTAGAACTTTGGTTTTTATTTAATTTCACATAGCCTTGCTTTCAAGAAGGTGTTCCCATCCAAGCAGAGGTCGACTGGAGTTACGACCTTGCTTTTTTATTATCAGCACCCCCAGCGGGACTCTAACCGTTATAGTGCAGCGTATATTATAGACACCTTACCCACTATGCCACACTCCCACGAGTGCCCTTGGGTTAAAGAACAGATGTAAATTTAATTGAAGTCTAGGTCTCTTCCATATCCTATTATGGGATTA